CGGCACCCCGGCTAATACGAGTGTTTAATATTTGATGTGTTGGGATAAAGCAGGATCACCTTCGAATTGAATTGAGTGTCAGAATGAGAATCTATTACTGAAATTCTTGTGTGATTTGACAGCAAAGCAGACGATGTTATTCTTCACTAGTTACCGCAATCTTCTCCCCTACATCACTTAAATATTTTTTTCTTTGCTTGAGTAAACACACATTATCCTTTTTTTCCACCTCCCTTTCCTTTTTTCTCTCCCTCTTTTATACTTTTTTTTTCCCTTTTTTTTTTTTTTTTCCTTAAATCAAACCTGCCTCTCGCAGGGCCGATGGAGCAGATTGTTATTTCTTTATTTGTCCTATTAAATGGAATTCCTGATCGTTTAATCCCGCTTTTGTAAGTGATTTAAAAACACTTGAAAAGCCGCGGATGTGGCAGCGCTTCTGACTAAACTGCTTAAAAAGGGACGAGCTTCACCTGGGCTCGTGTGAGCGGGGGAAATTCCTGCCTCCTGGCAGCCAGGAGGGCACGGAGCCCACGGGGGGCGAGTTTTGTTCCTCACCCTCCATACCTTCACTTTCTGCTCTGCTCCTTCCTTCCCTGCCCGCTATTTAAATGCTGCCCCGAGGTGGTGGCAATTTGCCCCTTTTCCTCAATGGTGCTGGGGAGTTGGCGTGGCAAGGAACCCCAGCAGAAATTCCCCATTCCCCTCCTTCCCGTAGCTTGCGTGCAATTAAATAATGGGATGGCGAGGGACCTGCTGTCCTGGGGGCCTGCCTCAAAGACACCCCCAGCGCCCGAAGCTGAGGATGCTGGGGGGCTCCGAGAACATTTTAAGCTCTGTCTAAAAGCCCGCTTAGCCGTAGACGCGACCTCCTTTTCCTTCCCAACACCCACAGTGACACAAAGCCCTGACACCTCATCATGGAAGCGGCGCGGTGAGGTGAGTGAGAGGGAAACGCTTGTTTTGGGGCCGGGAGGAAGACGACACTTTTGCTGTCTCCAAGTCATTTTCTCCACTGCGCCAGTGTCAGGGGGGTCAGCCGCAATCCGCAGGCTGCTGCGCCAGGAGGGGTCCTTGGGGAGCACCCCCTGCCCCAAGCCAGCGAGGGAGGAGCAGCTGGGGACATCTCACCACTGCTTGCTCGCTCTCCAAGCCCGTGTTTTTTCACAGGCATCACTTTCTTTGACAGAAACTTTCAGCCAAAAGCACCGCCGGTGTCTTTTATTCCTTCATCCCCATCCACTCAAACCGCTGAGCACCTTTGCTCCTGGGGGGATTTTCCCGAAAGGAAACGCTTCCTCCCTGCCCGAAAGTGTGCGTATTAATATTAAAATCGCAATATTAAAATTGCAATCAGCGTGCGAAACACTCGCTGGGGCTGCAGAGAGGCCAGGGGAGCCTCAGGGTGCAGCAACAGAGCACCAGCAGCTCCGTGAGCGCAGGAAGGGTTTGTGAGGCTCCCCGAGCGTCCTGACCTGCGCCCGGGTGCCCCGTGCTCCTGGTGTTAAATCTTGCCTTAATGTGACTGCCGACCGCCGGTTTTTGTGAAGCGCGCCGGGCACTTCCCCATAAATAAATGATGGAGCATTATTCAGTCCACTTAGATCAATACATCAGCCTGACAAGTTCCAGTTCTGGGAATTTTCTGACCCCCCTGGAACATCTTCTCCGAGGCTGCGCCGCAGAAGGAGCCCGGCCGTGCTGGAGCTGCCAGCAGTGCTGGGGCCGGGGCTGGTTTGCCTTCAGCTTTTGGCAGAGGCAGGCAGGGGAACCCGGTGCCAAACTGGGCAGCATTTTTATGAGAACTAGGCAAATCCTGCCCATGGTCTTCCCCTGCAGTCAGTGCCGTCGTGCTGCCCACCCCACTCAGGTGCACCTCTCCCAGCTCAGAGGACCAGTTTTGACCCCCAGGACAAGCCACAGCGCTCTTTTTTGGGGATCTTTACAAACTGAGGCAGGCGCATGGTGGCCACGGGGAGGTTTGGTGACCCGGTGCACCAACAGCGTGCCCTCAGACCCTTTCTGCTTCATCCCAGAGCACTTCTGCTGCCCCGCTGACCCACAGCATCTCCGTGCCGCGGGGCGCTGTGCCCCAAATCAGATCCCCCAGCAGCTCCCTGCTTCGGTTCCCCCGTCTTGCGTTTCCCACAGGTGAGACAAGGTACAGGTTACCTGAGGACTTACCTCCCCTTGTAACAGGGCGTGGGTTATCTGCCGTGCTGGTCACACGTGAGGAGACACAGCCTGTTCCTAAATCTCGCATTTCTTGCAGGGCTTGCCTCGGGTTTGAGATCCCTGCATCGGGGACCCAGGGCGGTGTTTGCGAGCCGCCGCGTATGCCTAGGGGATGCTATAAGTAAATAAATATAATTAATAATCACCCGACTTCGGAGGAGCGTTGGCAGGGAGGTAAATGGAGCCTTCACGGAATTACAAACAAAATGAGGAAAAAAGGGAGACCTTTCGGAGAGCTGGTGCGCATGGAAATAACTCTGTAACAGCTGCTCGGAAATCAGCCTGCAAACACCAGGTCGGTGCTTCGCAGCAGATCAGAGCGGCTAAGTTTGGTTTTTAATGACGATTCTGACCCAAAATATTTTCTGATGGCTTTTTAAAAAGATGCCTGTGTTTTTTATCAAGTAAAACGTAGGTGAAAATAAAATGCGTGGGGTCCTGCGGTCACTTCGGTGCCTGACCTCGAAGGGGGCAGCCCAGTCCCTGCAGCGCTGGGCTGCAGCCAGAGGGAGGGACAAATTAGGGTGGTTTCCCGGCCAAAAGGGTTTCCTGGCATTTTGTAGACTCGCGAGTAAGTTTAGGGGCTCGGTTTTGGGGCTGCGGCGGTGCCGGCGTCGGGCTGGGGACCCCGCGTCTTTAACAGTCAGCAGCAGAACTTTCCTGTTTAAAGATTAAACGTCGTCTTTAAATATTAAACAGCAAAGCTCCTCGCTCTTGATTGTGTGGCTGCTGCCGGCAGGCGGCTCAGAATTGCCAATTTTAATTAAAAAACTTTATTTTCGAATACAATTCCACCGCTGGCAGAGCTCGGCGGCCTCCTCCCCTGGCCCAGCTCCCTTCCAGCCCCTCCGTGCCCGCGTCGCCGCCTGCCCGCACCAAAGGGACGCGGGGCTGCGGGCGGCCTCGGCTGGGGCTGATCAATGCCCCTGGCACTTCCTTCCCAAAGCCCGGGAAAAAACAATTAAAAGCCGATCGATCCTGCAGAGGGCTTTGAATATGCAGAAGTGCACACTTGACCTTCAGTGGTCAGGCCAAGCTGCAGCCCGGCTGCTTAGCTAGTTTGCTCAGGTACGGCGGCTGTACCCGCTGACCTTGGTTAGCCGAGCAAAATGCGGTGCAAAAAGAGGGGCTGGTGCTGGGCCGGGGGGGCTGCGGCACGGAGGAGCCCCGTTCACAGCAATGAATTGGGATTTTAAGCAGCCTGGGGGCTGCTTCTCACCCTCTCCCCGTGCCCAAACTGGGCAGGGGCATGGGGAGAGGGTGAAAATGGCCCAAGGTGCTCGGCTGATGGGTGTTAGAGCGGCTTTGCCCCGTGCTGGCCCTGCTGGGACGCTGCCACCCTCTCTCTGTTCGCTCCTGGTTGGGGTGGGAGCTCTCCGAGCCGGGAGCCTGCCTCTCTGCATCCGCCCGCTGCAGCCCAGGAGAGGGAGCCACAGGCAGAGCCGCCTGCAGCCGGCACCCAGGCCACCAGCCCCCGGCAAGTGGGGGCCCCCTGGCACCCCAGCACCCCACTGCCCCCCTCGGCATCCCGGCCACGGGAAGCGTCGGCGATGAAGACATCAGAGCCCGTTGGGTGAAGGCGAGGGAACCCTCCCCGTTGTGTACACACAGTGTAATTTCAGTGAATTATGCACAGACTTAATTAGGAGTTTTAATTGCTAATCATCTCCCCGCAGGATTAGCCATGCTGTCTATTAATTACCCGTGGAGCCCTCTGTTTTGCTAAGGCGGGAGGAGCGCGGCGGCACGAGCACTTACGGGGGCCAGCACTAAACCCTACTACCCCCGAGCCAAGGGCTCCCGGGGGAGGGCAGGCGGTGGGGGCTGCGGGGTGGCCGTGCCCACACTGGGGACAGCAGCAGGTAGCAGGGCACGGCCCCGGGTGGCAGCCCCCTGTCCCCTTTGCCTCCCCATCGCTGCTGCATGCGACGGTCCCCAGGGCGCACAGGGGGTCCCACGCAGCTCCTCTCCAGCTGAGCCCCCCAAATTGGGCTCCTGCTCGCCCCGCTTGGCCCCGTTCCTGCTGCTGAGCCTCTCCCTGGGCACGCTCAGCCTGCAGAGGTGGTGGCACTGCCCCTGCCCACTGCGGGATCGCCCTGAGCCCATCTGGGGACGATGGCCCTCATGGTGGCACAGATCGCATGCCGTTCTTAAGGCTCACAATGCGGCCATGAGCTTAATTCCTCACGATGGAGAAGATATGGGGCTGGCAGCCCCTAATTACAGGCATGGGGGTGGTATGGGGTCCTGGCTGCTTCCCCCGTTTGCATTGTCCACTGGGGTTGTGCTGCCCGGGCTCCATGGCTCCCTCCCTCCAGCCGGGCTGTGTCTCTGTGCCTTGGGGTGAGCAGCACGGGGGCCCGGTGGGGTTTTTCCCAGTGTGGGGGACCCAAGGATGGATGGAAAGGAGAGGGGAGGCCGGGGGGTAAGGGGGCTGCATGTCGGGTCAGCCTGGGCTCGGCCACCCCTTTCCAAAAGCCTCTGAGTCCTGAGCTCAGCCCTGGGCAGCCCACCCGTGGTGCAGCAGGGAGGGTGGAAGGATGGTGGAGCAGCCCGGGGACGGGCAGGACAAGCCCCCAGCGTGATGGAGGTGACCGTGGGGGCTGCTGATCCTACACAGGATGGGTCTGTGTTGAATATCGGGGGCACAGACCTGTTCCTGCCCCAGGAACTGCCGAGCACAGGCAGCTGCCGGCAGCGGGGTGCTCCCCAAAACATCCCTGCGTGCTCCCTGTGCCACCGTCTGACCCTCTGCTTCTCTCTTGCAGGCGTACAGCTTTGCCATGGGGAGCTGGCCAAAGAACGGGCTCTTAGACATGAACAAAGGACTGAACCTACAGCACATAGGGAGGCCTCACAGCGGGATAGGTGAGTGACTGGGGCCCTGCGCCCTGCCCAGGCCCCGCGGCTGCGCCTCGGGGGGCGCCTCAGCTCCCAGAGCTGCTCCAGGAGGGGTGGGGAGAGCCAGCCGAAGGGTCTCAGCTGCTGGGAGGGAAGAAGATGTGCCAGGGGAACACTGGTGTGCACGTGCCCGCGGTGTCCCTGCTGTACCCACACCCAGCAGGGGATGGATGGGGAGCTCATCGTGGCTCTCAGTCCCTCCGGGGGTGCTGGAGGTGTGGGCTGGGCAGGGGCTGTCCCCAACGGGCTGGTGCTCCAGCTCCTCTGGGTGCTGTGGTCCTCGGAGCAGAAGCAGGCTGCAGGGCCAGCAGGAGCTCCGTGCACGGGTCACGGGGAGCTAGACCAGCTCCATTGGACTGCACCCCAGAGGGCAGCATCGCTCTCACCCCTCTCATGTCTCCGTTCCCTCTGCCTCCCGGCCCTTCATCCGCTCTGACTGCAGAGCATCAAAGTTTGCAAGGAGGTGAGATTCACTTGGAAAAGTCACCTGCTACCTGGGCCTCGAGGAGGCTGTTTAATATTGTTTCAAGACTCCAACCATTAAACTCTCCGATCAATCCAAGTTACGGAGATGAATTATTTAAAGCTCACCAGCTTTTAATTAGCAAGCTCCTTTTGAACTATGGATCTGGTTGCATTATTGACGGAGGTAGCATTAAAATTTGCTTCCTTGCCTGGGAGCAGATCTGCCTTGCTTGTGTGCCACGGCGGGGGGGATGACGGAGAGGGAGCCCGGACTGCAGGAGCTGGGTGCTCCGTCCTGCTTCGGGGCTTGGACCTTGCCTAAGGTCCCTCTGGGGATGTAGGGTTGTGTTGTGTCTCATCTTTCCTTGTTTTATTTATGGCAAGAGCGCTCTGTTGCTGTCATCCCCTGCCCTGACAAACTGTCCCCGGCTCTGGAGTATCATCTGTCCACCGTTGGGTTCTGCCCGCGTTTATCTCAGCGCTGCTGTCTCGCTCAGGTGTCGCTGCCTGATGGAGCTGAGAAAGATGCTGCTCGTGTCCCTCCCCGCTCCAGCCCTTTAGGAAGGTTTTGCTGCTTCGTTTCTGCCAAGCTTCCTCTATGGGGCAGCTCTCCTGGCTGCTGTGGGGTGAGCCACGGGCAGATTGTCTGCAGCTCTGCCCCAGCTGTCTGCAATCTTCTGCCTGTGGCGGAGGCAGCAGCCGCTGGCCTCCTGTGCCTGGTGGCTTTAGCTCAGCATCCCTCCTGGGACAGGGCTCGGGGTGATGCTGCTGGCTGGGGACCTGCCTTGCCTGGCGTTTTATAGGGACACCGGCCTCCTGGCCACATCACTTCCCGGCTCAGGGATGTGCAACATGGGCTTTTCCTTACAAATCCGGTAGAAAAATTGCCGTGGGTGGCCACTTTTTTGTTCTAAACAAGATGTAAATTTGCGGTCTCGCCTGACGGGCTGTGCACTGCTTTATTTTCACATCGCTCCCCGATTCACTGGCTCAGCAGATACCTGCTCCAGACCTGGGCTCTTTGCAGCCTCTGGGACCCGTCTTAACTCTGCGCTCCCTCTCCTCTGCTTCGTGCCCTGCCAGATCCCGCAGGGAAACCTCACCTTGCCCAGCTGCCGTGTGCGGGCAGGGCTCGTGGTGTCCCCTGCTGAAATCCGGGGCCACATCCCTTGGGAAATAGGCTGTGGGAATGCAACAGCAAGCTGCTGAGCAGGGCTCGGGTGGGAGGTTTTGGGGAAGGACAAGGCACAGGGGAGGGTTAGGGCACCGGGTCCGTGCGGTGACACCAGCGCGGCCGTGTTCTCACATCGGGGCCTCTCTGTGGAGTTGCAGGGACTGATACAGATCAGAATGATTGAAATCACAGCTTTTAATTGTGATTTAAATCAGCCAGCAGGGCACCTGCTTTCGGTAATTGATTTTCTTCTGGTTTTGCACTTTTTTTTTTATCCGTTTCCCTGCAGAAAGGTCAAGTTTTACTGACCAGCACCTATCAAACCGCGTTCAGCTCGCCCTACCATTGCCCAGGTGTTAAGTCTCGTTGTCCTTTTACACATCAAATATCGTATTTGCATTTATTTTGATCAATACTGTTACATAATGTGCCTTTAATCCGGGTTTTTAGATCATTGTCGCATTAGAAAAATGGTGAGTTACTGTTTGTTATTCAAGAGGTGGGGATTAAATTATTATTCATGATGTGATTTGTTGCGCTTTTGGATGGAAATTGGAATGCCAAGTATCTCAAGTACCCGTGAGGTCGTTTAAATGATGTTTATTAGTGAAATACTGCTTCCCTTGCATACGCTCAGCGTAGAAGGAAAAGTGCATTTCATATTTTTTGTTAACGATTCCAGATGCGTGAAACAAAAGTAAGAACAGTGGCTGTGAGTTGAGCAAGTGCTTCTGGAAACCACCCCTTCAAGAGCTTAGAGTTAAGTCTCCTCGTCTCCTACATTTGCTTGTTTTTCTGATTGTGGAAGGGATAAAAGGCACACCTTGGTTTTGTTCGGGCCTTTGTTGTTTCTTGGCTCCGAACGAGCCAGTTATTGTAGGGAAAACACACTGAGACAAGGGAGAAGTTTCCAAATCTGCAGAAGAAGCCGCTGCTGGGAAAGTTTGTTTCTCATTTCTCCTCTCCGGTTCCACCTGCAGTGGGTTGGAGCAGTGTCTAAAGCCCTTGCTCTTGGTCTCTTTTGAATCAAATGGAATTGAATTGATCCCTCAAAGTTTAGACTTTGACACGCAGATTATTAGGATTTCCCATTTAGCTCTAAATGTCAAGTTTGAGTTTTTTTCTTTTTACTTCTTCAGGAACAAGGTCACCCAGGCTGCTGTGCCTCTTGCTGACGGACCAGGAGCACACATCCAAGCCTTATTATACCCAGGCCAGGGGGCTCGGTCCTGCCAGGCACAGCAGGAGGGTCCTGGCCAGGAGGAGCCCACGGGCTCGGGATGGCTGCCAGCTTGGTCCTGCTCACAGCCTCGGCACGGGGCTTCACCGCTTCCCTGTGCCATGGGGCCGAGGGAGAAGGGAGAAGCCCCCTGCCTGGGCAGGTCAGCGGCCCCTGCGGTGAGCGACCCAGCAAGCACCCGGCGCCTTCCCGGCCCCGTCTCTCTCTTTTCGTTTCCTGATTGGAAATCTCGGAAGGTTAGGGTGTGATATTGTTCCTGATCCGGAGCATTAATTAGGCCTCGGAAAGAAGAAGAGGAATTGCGTGTTTTTAACGGCGAGGTTAATGGGATGCTCGCAGAGTAGACAGTTTTAATGAGCTTCAACTCGATGCGCAGTGAGTTTACTCTTTGTGTTAAAAGGGTCACACTGCGCTAGTTTGATGTGGATTGTCTCCTGGCCCCCGGTGTCATAGGTGAGCGGCTGTCAGAGTCCAGTCAGAGCGCATTTACTTAGTGACACGATTCTAATTAACTGCCGCGGGCTGCCAGCGCCGCGGGGAGCCGGGCGGGCGCCTGCGGGGTGCTGCTGCCCTGCCCTGCCCGCCCGCGGGGGCTGCACGCGCTAAGTGCGGTGGCGGGCACCCCTAATGGGGGCCTTTGGCTCTCAGCTCCTGCTCGGGAGGGTGGCCCACGAGGCTTCTCCTCACCCTGAGAGGTCCTCGGAGCTCGCCGGCTTTCTTTCAGCCTCCTCTTGTTTTCCTTCCTCCTGGCTCTCCTGCTGCAGGGGTGCTGCGAGCCACCCGTGCCCACCCGCTCTCTGTGCCAGGTGGACCCAGGGGATGGGCGCAGCATTTCGTGACTCTCCCCTCTGTCACAATGGAGGATGGAGCATGCAGAGCCCACTTCTGGCTCTCAGAGGAGGGGATGCTCTTACCGGGAGCAGTGCCACATGCTCAGCACCATCCTTGTGCCATGGTGCCAAGAGCTGGAGGGCACGGGGCTCGCTCCGGAGCAGGGACCTGCCTCGGGGCCGCTGCCCCGGACACCCCGGGGCTTCCTCTCCCAAGCAGCCCAAGACAAAAGGGGAAAGACCCCGAGTTAGATAATTAAAAGAGACTTAAGTAAAAAGCAACAGAAATGTCACCAAATGAGCAGTGTCACTCCGAATTAGCGCTGCTAAAGGTCAGGCGGATCCCGAGCAGGTGGAGCGGACGCGGGTGCCGTGGCGAGGCTCGGCGTCCCGGCAGGATGGGGCCCAACAAAAGGACCCGGCCAGCTGCACCGTGGGACCACGGGACCGGGAATGGGGTGGCACACGGGTGGCAGGGTCCCGCCGCGAGTGCCGGGCCCTGCATCCTGCAGGAGGAGCGGGGAGGCCGGGGCGGCCGGTTGGAGGACGCGCGTCTGTCAGAGTCCAGTCAGAGCACATTAACGCGGTGACATGATTCTAATTAACTGCCGTGAGAGGTGTCACAGCTGGAAAAGCAGTGAGCAGAGACAAGCTTTTAAAAAAAGAAAAAAGCAATGTGACAGTCTTTTTTTTTTTCCTTTTCTTTTTCTTTCTATTTCTTTTTTTTTCCTTTTTTTTTTTTTTTTTTTTACTCTTGTGTGCTCTCTCCCCTCCATGTGGGAGTGGATCTAAAGATAATTAGGATGTCTGGCTGCCTGGGAACCTGAGCCAGGGCTCTTTTGCTTTCAGTCATTTAAGTTTTCGACATCTCTCTGAAGGGACTTGGTGGCGCAGTGGATTACTGCGCGCCAGAGTGACAGAACACTCTTCTAATCGTAAACCCTTTTTAGAAAAGATTCAGCTCTCCCTTTTTCCCTGGGAGCAGCGGGGGGTATGTTCTGATCACTGCAGCTCTGTTCCCATACACGCTACAATGGGAAACTCAAGGTCTTTCAGCTGTTTCCTGCAGTTAACAAAGGAGGCACAGAAGAAAGAAAGGAAGGATGATTGAGTGTTTGTGTTGACTGCACTCACCCCTCCGTCCTACCCAGCCCAAAGTTGATCGCGCGCTCGCCCGGCCCCGCTGAGCCGGGGGTGGTTGCAGGAGCTGGCCCACATCTCCCCGGTGTGCTGGCGGGGCTGGGACGGGCTGCGGGGC